GAGATCGTTGATTTAGTGGTATATATAAGTTTTTCATTTAAAAATATGGGTTGCAACGTAAATTGGTGAGTCGATTCAAATGAGTATTGTATCTCACTGATGCGTTCCTCTAGTTACATATATGTAGTCTGGATATATGTTTATATATGCTTGGTTGTGTGTGGTTACGATTGTGCCTTGTTATCGAAGACATGTTTATGATTTGGACCGCATCCATATACAGTGTGTGCGTGTATGCTGTGAATCAGGTTGTGCTTGTGCAAGTTAGTATTGCCTCGAATCCAGGATTTTACTTTGCTTATGACATCACTTATGACGCCTGTAAAGTATACAGAATACCAATAATCAACTGCACCCCCCCCTGTTGTCATCTCTTAAGCCAATTTTCCACATTTAAATTATTAACATCGCAAATATTCACGCCCCACAGGTATGCTTAATACTCGATAAAGTCAAACAAATAGCGTCCAGTGAAGAGTATGGCACGTCGCCACAAGAATGCGTGGTTGTGGAAGCAATGCTCAACGCTCTGCATATCGGCAGTGTGCCCTCACGCATAGCAGCAGTTCGAGATGCAAATGCCAGTTTTTTCATCGATTGTTTGCTTGTAAGTGCTTACTTGGACTGAACTTTGATGCAAGCAATCAGATGCTGTGTATGTACGTTGCCAAATGTTTCAGAGAAATTCTTTTCGACATTTGGCGGACATACACCTTGCGTTGGTACTTGACTGTGTGTAGCAATATATACATGACTTTCCGGTAAAATGTAATTCCAAACATATGGTATGCATGTTTGTGTGAAGGCAGTGTGTTTACTTGAAGCAAAATGAACTTTGATGCAAGCAATCAGATGCTGTGTATGTACGTTGCCAAATGTTTCAGAGAAATTCTTTTCGACATTTGGCGAACATACACCTTGCGTTGGTACTTGACTGTGTGTAGCAATATATACATGACTTTCCGGTAAAATGTAATTCCAAACATATGGTATGCATGTTTGTGTGAAGGCAGTGTGTTTACTTGAAGCAAAATGTATGTCTGTCTGTAGACATCATACATATGTATTATAAAGTATGTAAAATTAATCTGTGTATATATGTAAATTATTTGAATTCAGAATACATCTGCGTATGTGTGTATTTCCACACCAATTCATGTTCATAAGTGCGTTTCTATATGAATAACACAATTCAAATTTTGGTTGCTTTAGTTGAATATAAATATGGAAATTTAGGTTTACTGTGTTTCTTCACCATGCTAAGACATACGTGTCATAACACCTAGTCAATACCTTCGCATATACTCTGTTCTTCAGTTATGTATTGCTCCCTGAGGTGCAATATAGTTAATCCTAGTTTTTGGTACAAGCGAGAAAGTATGATTCTGATTCGTGATTCGTGTAGCTTAGATAGTTTTATGTGAAGACGTGCATATACATGAGACCTTATAATATGTACATTTAAGGTACATTTCTTTGCTACTATTCTTCTACGTGATACATGCATACTTTCACATTTTAAGTACATTTCTTTGCTACTATTCTTCTACGTGATACATGCATACTTTTTTCGTATCGCTACATACCCTGTTGCATATTCGAAGTTGTCACACATCTTACTTGAACTTTAAGCACTCATCCATAAACTCAAGGGTCGGTTATAATAAACAACTGAAGCGGTTACTTTGTATATGATATGTGTCAATAATGGTTAAGGTTATTGATGCTTAGATCTCTTCACCGAACTCTTTGAATTACAAATCGGTGAGAACGATAGCGTGAGCAAAATGCTCTAGACATATAGCCCTAAGAAGACCGACCATTTTGTTCGTACTTACGAAACTCGACAACGTTGACAATGTTCTTCAAATGCCACTTTCACCCAAACTTGGATATGCAACTAAGCATAAAAAATATATTTTTGTGATGTAGGAATGGCAAGAGTTCGAATTCAAAGCTTCCGCAGGCCATGAGGAAACTGCTCACGGAGAACTTGTGTTAACAATTATACAGCTCTTTGCCACGGTATGTCCGGGGTAGTTTGAAAGTCAAGTTGGATTCCTCCAGGGGTGCTGAACTCACTCACATGCTTGGAAGTGCTATCTGATACATCCCAGAGCAGGCAAAGTGAAATACATCCATACCACAAATCCTATATGTAGGATATTTGTCTCTAAAGTGTCTACGCTGCAACCATCGAACACCGGGTTTTCTGTACGATTATTTAATGTTCTACACTGTTAAAAATATTATAGTGCGACTACCTGCCGGCAGCAATGGCACTAGCTCCAGCCCTCGAGATCTACATCAGTAAACCGAGCCATGGAATAAAGGAGGCAGTGGTGTGTAATCTATTACGAATGGCCGAAAAGTGGCCTGATGGTAAGCTCCCTTCACATCTGAGATCGATACTCAAGCTACACAAACATATGTGCAGTTTCTGCAAACCCCTTGTGCATAAGCCGCACTCTACAGGATACTTGTTCGTGTTGTTTAGCTAAATATTGACCCAGTATTCGCTTGTTTTAATATTATATGTCGAATGCCGATGCCGAACGTTAACTCGTGTAGAATAAGGCCACTACCCAATACTTTATGATCAAATATTTCGATTGTTCTAGCATGTTGGGAATATTTATACCCGAATCGGTGAAGTCTCTACACGTAGATAGGAAGTCTGGTGACTATATCGCCGTTCTTCTGCCAGTATATATATGTAGAGTCGAAGGTCTGGTATTTAGTACATGTATTAGGGCTTACCATGATGCATGGAGTCGGTTCCAGGTATCATGTAAACATACATATGGCTGTAAATTTACTTTTGCCGCTCATGAATCAATGATGTGCGAACTTCGATTAAGTCGACTACGGGGAGCAGAACAGTACTACTTTGCTCAGGATACTCGCATTGGAACTTTCATAATATAAACCATTGTGAATGTCCCCCACCTTTACTTAACATACTATTACCTGTAATTCTCACGTATATATGCAATACTCTTGTGACGAGGTTGCTTGCAAGTTTTTAGGAATGTCTCTTGTATTGCTTCTGAAGCCAGTAATATTTTTTTACGTGTAATCACAGAACTCGGCGAAGAGATTGCCGAAATTCTCGCCGCTGGGCTCAATGTCGAGCTACCTGACACGCCCAATGTACTACTAGAAGTCCTGCCCAAAGTGTATGATGTGCTCCCCAGGGCTATAGAAACCAATCTCTCGGGCCTGGTGGCACCTTATAAGCTGTTGGGAACACCTCGGCACTTGGACCATACTATCTTGAATATACTCGTGACCGTGGCTACGAACAAAGCTTGCGTAAGTCTGATGGTGTGGATGTATGAGCACTCTCCAAGTACAACTGAGTACAACTGAGTTGTTGTTGTTTTTTTGCGTATCAGAGCATTTGCATTTTGTAATCATTCAGGATTTTACAGCATGGTATATTCTGTGTCGCTAGTTTTGGTACAAATAAATAATGGAGACCGTTACTGAACATATACATAGGTTAGTGATGAGAGCTGATCACAGAACGATTGGTTTGTGACTATACCATGTGAAGAGGCGGTTTGGGGCATAAAGTTTGTGTTTTTTCACAGGTGCTTGTAGACGTTCACATGAGAGCGATATACAAAACTGTCATTAACCTATGTCCCGATTCTATGTGAACCTTGTCAAAAACTTGGGTGCAACCTAACAACGTGTCTCAACCGCATGTTACATCCTATTGACGCAGATCTATATCTTCATTTTCTGAATTCGGACTGCGAATATATAGTATTCTGGGTTTGATGAATCAAATTGTGCATCTCATGGTGAGCATTCTATTTCCTCACAAGCATATGATACCATTCGCTTATGTTTCTGTCTGTATGTGATACTCTTCAGCTTGTGCTGCCGTATATAGGGGTCGTTCTCGACTCGATAGTAATTGCACAGAAGGGACCGAAGAACAAGGATTTAATTTTTGCACTCTTCAGGAAAATCTTGTTCGACGATCCGATTTGTAAGTTTGTTGGTTCACACTAGTGATGTACAATGAAATCATGTATCTCGTCAATTAATGTCATTGTACAGACGCAAGCGTGTTCGTGAGTATAAACAACTACCGCGTATGTCCCCTTGCTCTTTCATCAATACAAGAGAATGTGAGATTCAGAGTGCCTTGGCACAACATAGTTGATATCTCGAGTGTGGTAAGAGAGTATAGATTGCCAGTTGGATACCTTTTCAAAGACAGTTTTCAAACTCGTGCTGCAGCTGCTTTGCACTTAAATGGGAGAGAGCGATATTGGTCGTGTGCTTATAGTTGAGCCTTGTGATGAGTATTTCGTCAATGCAGACCGCTCCTTCGAAATCTACATCTTGTTTCTGTACTTTACAGTTGTGATGCAGAGCATGCCGGATCTGAACATTCTAGCAGGCAATGATGAGAAATACTTGGCTGCTGTTCAGGGTTTAAGGAATTATCTAGGCTTAAACGATCACGATGGAAGTACGACAAGTCTCGACGAACCTTAATAAACGCCGACAAATCGATATGAATTTTGGCCGCATATATATATATATATATTATATATATATATATATGTGTGTGTGTGTGTGTGTGTGTGTGTGTGTGTGTGTGTGTGTGTGTGTGTGTGTGCGTGTGTGTGTGCGTGTGTGTGTGCGCGCGTGTGTGTGTGTGCGCGCGCGTGTGTGTGTGTGTGTGTGTATGTGTGTGTGCGTGTGTGTGTGTGTGT